TGTAGGCAGAAAACTTGATGACCAGGCAAGAAGACAGTTTGGATTGCACAACACAGCGAGATGCAAATGGTTGATCAAAGGCTATGTTAACGTGTTATGTAAACTCTGTATTTTCCCTGTACAAGCAGACTGCTGGTCCCATGCCCGGATAAATTAGGAGGGTTGGGCATGTGGTTAGCGGCTATATCCCGTAGAAAATAAACTCGCTAAGAAACGCAAACCAGAAAAAATTATTCAAACCATTTTAACTCTGCCCTCCAAGTTGAAGGAAGAATTATGACGCCTCATGATAAAAGCCAAGATTCTTCTGAAGTCACGAGGCTGACACCCCTCCTAACAACCAGAACAACAATCAACATAGGTACATGGAACATCCGTACAATGTGGGAGACCGGAAGAGTATTCCAAATCGTTGCATAAATGAGGAAATACAACCTAGAGGTGCTTGGAATCAGTGAAACACATTGGACGCAGGTTGGACAATAACGACTATCATCAGGGGAATTTCTGTTATACTCCGTTCATGAAGAAGAAAATGCCCCATATACACAAGGAGTTGCATTGATGCTGTCCAGAAAAGCACAAAATGCACTTATTGGATGGGAATCTCATGAACCAAGGATCATCAAAGCCTCCTTCAAAACAAAGAGAGAGGGTATTACAATGAACGTCATCCAATGCTATGCGCCTACCAACGACTACAATGAAGAAGTTAAAAATCAATTCTACGATAGGCTGCAGTCGATCATCGAGAAGTGCCCAACAAAAAACCTGATCATTCTGATGGGAGATTTAAATGCCAAGGTTGGAATGGACAACACTGGATACGAAGACGTCATGGGACGACATGGACTGGGAGAAATAAACGGAAATGGTGAGAGATTCGCAAACATATGTGCCTTCAATAAACTGGTGATAGGCCGCACTACATTCCCATTCAAACGCATTCACAAAATCACATGAACTTCACCGGACCACACTACACAGAACCAAATAGACCATATCTGCATAAACAAAACGTTCAAGAGGACGATGAAGGATGCGAACCGACAAACGTAAATATGTGGAAGATTTAGCAATGACAGCGGAAAAGGCTGCAAGAGAAGGAAACATGAGACAATTGTATGATACAAAAAGATGGAACCCTTATCTGCTCTCAACCCAAACGTTTAGAACGATGGGCGGAACACTTTAAGGAGCAGTTCAGCTGGCCTTCATCTACTGCACAACTACCCACTATTCTCAGAAAACCTGAATGCAACATTGAAATAAGCCCCACAACCCTACATGAAGTTCCAAAGGTTATAACTAATCTGAAATGAGGAAGAGCAGCTGGTCCTGATGGATTGGCTCCAGAGGTCTTTTAATATGGTGGCCTAATTTTAGCGACTAGGTTGACTAATATTCTGACTAAAATCTGGGAGTTGGACGTAATCCCATCTGACTGGTCACAATCACTGGTTGCCCCAATATATAAGAAGGGGTCCAAATCATCCTGCGATAACCATAGAGGGATTAGAGTGACTAACATAGCATCTAAAATACTAGCCTCAATAATTATCGGGCGCCTAACTAAGAGTCGTAAACTCCGAACACGAGAAAATCAGGCTGGCTTCAGACCTGGTCGTGGCTGTATCGACCACATATTCACTATTCGTCAGGTTTTAGAGCACAGATATACTTATCGGCGTCCGACAATGATAGTTTTTCTTGACTTGAAAGCAGCATTTGACTCTGTAAACCAAGAGGTTCTGTGGCAGTGTCTGTCATTAAAAGGTGTACCTCAGAAATACATAAACCTTGTGAAGGCTCTTTACTCGAACACTACCAGTCGAGTGAGAGCTTATGGCTAACTGTCATATGATTTTACAACCTCAAGTGGTGTCCGACAAGACTGTCCACTATCTCCATTTTTGTTTAACTTCATTATAGACCTATTGCTGGAAATAACATCCACGTCGACTGAATTTTCAGGAATTGATCTCCTACCAGGGGGACCACTAATCGACTTAGAATACGCGGATGACATAGTCCTGTTTGGTGAAGACGCTGACAAAATGCAGTCTTCTGTTGGAACTGAGTAATAATGCCAGGATGTTTGGGATGCGTTTCTCCCCATCTAAATGTAATTTGTTACTCCAGGACTGGCCTGAGTCAACACCTGAACTAAGGATAGGGAGTGAAGTAGTCGAACGCGTCGACAACTTCACTTATCTTGGAAGTCTGATCAGCCCTAATGGGTTGGTGTCTGACGAAATCTCAGCACGAATTCAAAAAGCTCGTTTGGCTTTTGCCAACCTACGTAACCTATGGCGAAGGAGAGATATCCGTCTATCAATTAAGGGGCGAGTATACTGCGCAACAGGTCGCTCTGTTCTACTTTACGGCTGTCACTGTTCCAATCGATAATTCGCTGCTCTCTGATTGGCGATCTTATCACGTCATACATTAACTAGGCATCCACTCGGCCACAAGATATAACAGAAACATTGCCATTAAGAGTAGTAGATACTCGTAAGTTACTAGTATTTGACCACAGATGCCTTAGAAATATTGCTCGCATCTACTGGGATCACCGGATAAGTAATAGTGAGGTTTGACACAGGGTATTAGGGAATGATGGTGAATCAGTTGATGAGGTCATGAATCTTCATCGACTGAGATGGTTAGGCCACGTGTTACGTATGCCTGAACACCGATTACCACGATGCGCTATGCTGACTAGTATTGGGGATGGTTGGAAGAGAGTTAGGGGCGACCAAATCAAAAAGTGGCATCAGTGCTTGAAGTCTCTAACTTCTAGTCTGAGCCGAGTTGGCAGATGCAGACTACCTGGTTGGGTTCCGCGTGACTATCGTAACCAATGGTTTGAGACTCTGTGTGACATGGCTCAGAATCGATCACAATGGCGTAGGTGTATACACTCTCTGTCTTCCCTTAAACTGTGAGATTAAAATTGCTTCTTTCTTCCTCCCTATACTATATCCTTATATACAACCTTTCTTTTTTATACTACCACCACTAAATTAACTACTTCTATGAATCTGGTGTTCATCTTGTTGTGCTTACGAGGTATGGCAACTTGGACTGATGCATATATGTGCCTGGTCCTACGTTGTAGCTGACTGACTGACTGACAAAGAAGAAACTCGCTGGAAATTACCGTAAACCAGAATGACCGGTGGGAAGCAAGGAAATCACCAACATTGAAGAGCAACGGAACAGGTGGGTAGAACACTTCAAAGAACTCTTGGATAGACCAGCTCCACTGAACCGATCCAACATCAAAGTGGCACCGCTGGACCTCCCAATTGTAGTTGGCCCACCAACAATTGAAGAGATCACCATGGCCACCAGACAAATCAGGAGCGGAAAAATAGAAAGACCAGACAACATTCCGGCAGAGGCACTGAAAGCAGATGTAGCAGCAATTGCAAAGATACTCCACATTCTCTTCAGTAAGATTTGGGATGAAGAACAAGTACTAACAGACAAGAAGGACACCTTATCAAAATATCAAAGGAAGTCGATCTCAGTAGGTGTGAGAATTACAGAGACATCACTCTCCTCTCAATACCAGGAAACGTCCTCAACAGGGTATTGTTAAACAGAATGAGGGACTCTGTAGACGCCCACCTTCCACATCAACAGGCTGGATTCCGTAATGATCGATCGTGTGCAGGCCAAATCGCAACACTACGGATAATTGTGGAGCAATCAATTGAATGGAATTCATCACTCTACATCAACTTCATTGACTACGAGAAAGCATTTGATAGCGTGGACAAGACAACACTATGGAGGCTTCTTCGACACTATAGCGTGCCTACGTGAGAAGATAGTCAATATCAATCGGAATTCCTATGGTAGATTAAACTGCAAAATTGTGCATGGAGGACAACTCACCGACTCATTCGAGGTAAAGACTACTGTCACACAAGGTTGCTTACTCTCACCCTTTCTTTTTCTCCTGGTGATCGACTGGATTATGAAGACGTCAACACCTGTCCACAACTGTCTTTGGGATATCATTCTTGAAATACTTGGATGTCTGTAATTCAATAAGTTAATAATAACACGAGTTAACTGAATTTATTTCAAATAAAGGAAAAAGCGAAGAAACTCCTTACTAGAAGGAGCAATCGTTTCATGTAACCTAGGTTTAATGTCGTGTCAATTCACTACACAGTACTGATAAGAGCTTTCTATTCAGTTCAAAGTGGTTTGAACTCTAAATAAAAGAATTTTCTACTGTCCTACAATGATATCGAACATCACCATTTGAACTTAGCACAAAAACATAATAGTCATTATGTTTATTCCGACTGACTCGGCAATATAATATAGTCTAACAAACAAAGGTTCAAATCCTCACCATACAGCCTACTATCCCATGATTGAAATCTAGAACAGAACAGCTAAATACAAAGAAAACTGAATATTATTGTTTGAATTCTCAGTTTAGTAAATACATTCTTTCTGGTTTATTCATACAGCACAAAACTACTTTAAATTCATTTGATCTATTGTAATTACTACACAACTCATTTGTACGTATGTAAGTGGGTAAGTGGAAATAATTTCGAAGAACAAAAAACCACAATACAACTTTTTTTTAATAAGCATAAATATTCAGACTGAAATCACAATGTATAATTAAATTAAAGATAAATCTACCAAAAAAGGAAGGCACAAAGGTAAAAATAAATTAAATGCACAAATCCAATTAGAATTTAACGGACAAATCGATTCAATGATATTTACTTGGGATAAATTAAAAAATTGTCCCATTCACGCTAACATCATTCTATTAATGTCTGTGTTAGAAAATTCAAAGACGATTCATGAAAGACTAGGGATAAGCAAAACACGAAGTACAAGTAAGGGGAAGAACAAAAAAAATAAAGAAATTATCTTATCCAAAAATGGTGAGTAGGATAAGGGAAATCACTGTTCGACAAAAGGAAAAGCAACTCATTAACAAATAATAAATAAATAACTTATAACAAATAATTACTAAGTTGATTATGAAATTCTGAATTTGTTAAAAAATGCCATCGACGTTGACCCAATGCAGTACAAATGCAACACTCTGCTATTCTTAATCTAGACGATATCGATTCAGTCATCATTGTATTATACCATGTAGATATTGTAGCTGGAACAATTAATGGGCAAACACCATCTAACTGGCAACATTCCTTTTGGATAAATAATTGTAATGGACTATATTTACATTCATTCATAGAATTACAACATTGATTTCTCTGACGACATATTACCAATAAAGTTAAAATATGCACATAAACACTTGAACCACCAAGAGCTAGTAGATTAAGATGTGGACAGGCTTTAATCAAATCTTGTAGTACATGATCTAATCCATAAGAATGATTATCTTTACATGATTCATTCAATTGTTCAGTTGAACTAGATATATTCAATTCAGAAGGTACACGCTGAATAGTGAAAAAAACAGACAGACAGAATTATCGAACAAATTATTTGTGATAAGTATCAATAAAACTCTGCATTTTTACAACTAATTCCTATAAATAATACCACAACAGGTTACTATACTACTATCTATTCTCAGATGACATAACTATAGACTAATCAATTTAAAGTGAGTATTGTTGGAGATGTCAAATCCCCAGAACTTGCTTGGTAAATGGCTTAGTTTTGTAATTTTATTTTGAAAATTTGAATTTAGCTGTTTCCGCGCCAAACGCGGGAACTGTCTTAAACGCTATTGGTCCATTGTTTCTTTGTGTGTGCTATTTACCAATGATGCTCAAGGACAAATTGTTGTTGTATAAATGCGCTTGACTTTTTCCATTATTCGATTGCTTGTACTCGGCTGCTTACGGAATACATACATATTCCCCTACTTGCCTTGGACTTCTTCATCTAGTTAGCGGGGCCTGGGACAACCGATTAGAATAGCTTATCGTGTCATTGTGTCATTGGCTTTCGTTCGTTACAGCGGAATCGAATTTAGTTTCAGGCATAACAGTATACACATTTTTGCGCCTTGAGAGGGCATTAGCTTGTCCAAAATCCATCGTAGGGTGGTACTTAATCTTGAAATCATACTCCAGAAGCGTTGTTTCCCATCTCTATAGGCAGTTCGCTGTATAGACAGGAATACCTCTCATGGACCCAAAGACTGCCAGTAACGGTTTGTGGTCTGTTAATAATGTGAACTGACAGCTAAACGGCAACTTGTGAAACTTTTTAACCGCAAAGATAATGGCTAGTGCCTCTTTCTCTATCTGACTGTAATTCCTTTCTGTCATTGTCAGTGATCTAGACGCGTTGGCAGTGGCTTTATCAGACTGATCAGGCTAGATGTGTGAGATCACAGATCCCATTCCATAGTTTGATGCGTCTGTTGCAAGTACAATAGGGAGTACTTAGTCAAGTGTGCAAGCAGTAGGTTTGATGAGAGCAGCTATTTTAGTTTTGAAAATGCATCCTAACATTCTATTGACTAGACCCATTTGGTATCCTTCTTTAGTAAATTATTCAACGGTACTCGCCAACGATGCAGATCCGGGAGAAAAACACCATAATGACTAATCATTCCCAAAAAGGAACGCAGGGTTGTTACATCAGTTGGTGAAGGTATTGTCTTAATCGCGTTAACGTTTTCTGTGTCATGTTTCCTTCCGTTCTTGTTAATTATAAATCCCAAACAATGTACCTACTCTATGTAGGAATCGCATTTTTCAGCACGCAATCTGAACCCATAATCTGTTATCCGTTTCAGGACCATATCCAGCTTTTTGTCTAAGTCCGCGTAATCTGTACCCATAATAAGTAATGTCATCCAAATAAGCAGCAGTATCAGGAATGTCCTGTAACATGGTGTCCATAACTTGTTGGAAGATTGAAGGTGTTGTCTTTACTTTCCCCCATTCAGTTTCACAAATAAGTCTTCCGGCACTGGTAGTGGACACTGATATGCCTCAAGTGCATCGTTTAGTCCTGTCGAACAGTCTGCACATAGCCGGATGCTTCCGTTGGGTTTCTTAACAATCACTATTGGTGCTACCCAATCAGAAAAATTTACTGGTACTATGATTCCGCTTCTTTGTAGTCGTTCTAATTCTTGCTCAACAACTGGTAGAGCTGAGAAGGGTACAGGACGTTAAGATCTGAACACTGGTTTGGCCCCCGGCTTTACGATTAGTAATGCTTTCACCTTTCTGCATTCCCCCAGTTCTTCTGTGAACACTTGACTATGTTTCTGGAGGACCATATTTCTCGGGTTTTGCTCAGTGAGTACGTTAGATCCCACCCTACTATATATATGATTAATTGGCTGGTTAGCCAGCTGTAGCCTTTCTATGAAGTCAAGACCATGCAAATCTAGTCCTGGACTTTCTGTGAGATATACTCTGGCATTCTTTTGTACATTACCTATTTTAACTAGGCAGCATATTTCTCCAACAATCTTTAACTTCCCTCCAGATGCACTGTGGGCTAAATGGGTTGTTGGGAGCACCAAGGGTTTGCCAATATGACTTCGTGGTGTTAGTCTGGCTGAAAAAGGTCGGATCTACAACACGTCGGTGAGAGCAGTTTTGCTATATGCTTATGAATCCTGGCCTCTCCGAGTTCAGGATGTTAGACGACTCTTTGTATTTGATCATAATTATCTCCGAACGATTGCTGACATCCAGTAGCAACACCATGTCAGTAATGAAGAGGTTCAGCATTATGTGTTCCAGCACAGAGACGATAATCCACCTGGTGTCACCATCTTGAAACATCGACTTCCGTGGCTTGGACATCTTCTACGAATGTTGTCCCACAGAATTCCACGTCGTGCATTATTTGTCGACGCTGGGACCGGTCGGAAAAAGCGGAGAGGTGGTCAGTGAATGACATGGTGTCGTGTTATGAAAGAAAGCTGCGATGGGATGGCTTCTGTTGGTCCTTCATGACTCCCTGGTTGGAGTCCAAGAGCAGCACAGTGGCTAGAGACGTTATCAAATATGGCTCAGAATAGAAGTCAGTGGCGATTCTGCTGTAACCTTTTACTTTCTGCATAAAGAGTGGTTATAACCTCCTTAACTGAAAGAGTTCTTCTGATTGTACATTTCAGTTTCCCATTACTTTTTTATATGCACCTTGCCCTCCTTTTCTCTTCTCATTCTCATTGTTTTGTGTGGCGCATATATATCTGGTGCCCCCTTGCACCAATATTTATGTGTTTAAATAAATAAAGGCACTGATACCGAATATTAAATAAGGAAGACTGTTCACCGAAGATTTGCGACAAAATATTAACTGTTGCTTCGAATGAAAGATCTCTTGGGTTCTTTGGAAGAATGAAATTGGTGTATCATTCATGTTCAATAGTCCCCAGCTTCCGTAACAGCACTCTGACCTTGGCGGCACCATCAAACGTTTCTAGGTCGACGTTAAATACATCTTCATATTTCTTGTACCACGATTCAAATGTTATGCCAGCTAAACCATCAAAATGGAATTCATGAATGAAATCGACGATATAATCAGCATGTAATTTAGAAGAACCATCTGTAAGTCCATTCTTGTCCAATTGACAGATATGAAGAAAAGCGACAAACACAAAGGACTATTATCTGACCCATAAATTATTTTCTACCTTACCCTCTGATTAGTACGTATCCTAATTTGTTATTTATTGTCGAATCAATTTATAATGCAATCTTTCCTAGCCTCCTGTAGACATATATTTTTCATATAACTATATATACGAATGTACAGCTTAAGTAAATGATTTCGTCGAAAAGAAAATTTTCTTCGCTGAATTCTCTTTTTCGTATTCAATGACATTATGAGTTATTTTAATCTTAAATATATACTGACTCTACAATTCAAGATAAACTGATTTTTACATTCCTTTGTACAAAATCTATCAAAAATATAGATGCAATATTAAAACATTCATCCGTAAAATATGCATATACACAGTGATTAGTTTCGACAATTTGGTTTGCATATAAAATGGATAGAAGTGTAGTGAAATCTTATCAGACCTATATCTCTGATATATGGAAAACAACTAAGTTGACAAGTTTAGATTATACAAAATAAACTTGCTTATTTATTTATTAGTAGATCAGAAATCTATTTTTCCTAGTCTATAGCATTAGTTACACAACAATTGAATTTACTCATGAAACAAAATATAACCTAGGAAAACAACTTTCATCACATTCTTGAAAAAACAAAAGATTATACTTCCACCAAACTTCCTTACGAATATTATGAATGAATATTACTTTACAATATGCTTGAAATTAATTTATTACTGAGTTTATTTTCACGTCATTTGATATTGTATTTATATAAAACATGAATGAGACATAACTTGCTAACGATAAGAGTTGATAAGAGACCAATACTTATTTTTTGAGGATAATATGGTACAAAAACTTTCAGGAACATTATTGTGTAAATTTGAATTGTTAGTGTAATATTTACCAGAAAGTTGGTTATTAAGTGCCTCTTAATCTTTAGTACATTTCACAAAATGGAATACAATAGGTTGGTTTATTCATAGAAGTAGACCTAATTTTCTAAGAACATGATTTAAATTAATAATCCTGATAAGTTTGATCTCATTTATCCTGAACATGACAACTTCTTATCAATACTATTTTATTTGACGTAAATTACTCTCACCAAATAAAATTCAATGTCGCTAGTAGTACTGATTTACATCGTTTACATGATTTCAAGTGACACTACTGATCAATTCAAACAGATGCAGAAATTGTGGAGTAATCAAATATAATCTAGTGGTCAAAAGCCAAATTTTAACTAACAAACCATTACTTCACTCATACCATTATTTACTCAAAACATAAAAATACGAATAATGAGTTTTCGGATAAATCATTAAAGAGGAAAAACTGCATACCTCCAATAATATTATCAATGATGTAAGTGATTGTGAATACGATATAGGATTGATTGCATTTTGTGGACTTAATAACCTAGCCATAAATGCAGGTTCCCCAGTTAGAATTAATGTGATTGAAGTGACTGGTGCAGGAGGAACAGGCCAATAATATAGTACATTATGAATTGCATTGAATTTATCGGATGATGAAGAACTTTTCCACCGTAAACAAGTTAAATCTTCAACTAATTCCAACTTCAAATGAATGGTAAGACGTGGACAAAGAATAATAGCAGCATGCCACATGTTTGGAGGTATCGGTTTCCAACCAGATGGTGTATCTTGATTAGTTCCATATCTTCGAATACGTGGAATATCTTCAGTCCAATCAATCAAATCTAGCATACTTGAATCACTGGGATCAAAACTTTGATCTTCATTAAAGCCCATATTTAAATCGTCAGAATCATATGAAATAGTTCGTTGAATAGGAGGAGGATTTTCAGAACGAGGAATGGTGAATACAGTCAAATCAGTCTAAAAAAATGAAATAAAATGAAAAACTTCTATTATTCACCTTTCAAGTAACACTCCACAGGTTGACATTAAAAATAGTCTAAAACAATGGTTATTGAAGTCACTAAAAAAACTCATTCCAAACATTAATCTTATTAGCAGATAGAAGACTTATAGGAGGTTGAAAGTAATGACAGAAGAAACGAATTACAGTTATTATGGAATCCTATAAATATCAAATTATAAAACAAATTTTATTCATCACAAACTTTCAAAAGCTAGATATTAGCATTAACGTATGTCAATTTATTTAACTATATGTTACAATGATAAGTAGACGTTCATAGAAATACTGACTGTCTTCATTCGGATACTTATTAAAGCCAAAAACAATATTAGCTTAGTTAATAACAATGTAAACAAAAACAACCAATTTTAATGAACCAATTAGTTGAACGACAGTACCACCATTAATTCAAGTGCACAAGCATGGTCATTACAAAAAAAATTTAGATTATAGTATTATCTTTTTTCCCTTTCCGTGAAATACTATATTTAGTCATCGCTGATTTACATGAATACGTGAGAAATCCAGTTAGAAAAAAAGACATTTGATATGAATTTAACGATATCCTTTCTTAACTATAATCCCTCCCTGATTGATACATCAATCTAATACCTGATATATTATAGATACCTTCAAATATATTGAAAGTTATAGGGATTCGAGTTTAAAGACCTAGTCTTTGTGTTCAGCAAACATTTTTAACATTTCTATCCTATCCTTCGCCAGAAAACACCCAACGGGCGATATTACTGACTTTTTCATTGTTATAACGTGTGAATGCGCATGTGCCCTGTTTATATACGAACGTGATATGACCGCCAATTAGAGAGGAGCGAATTATCGATCAGAGCTATGATACACAAAAGCCGTATGAGAGGTCTTGAGTACCTATCAGTCCTGCTTTCTGCCTAGCCAAGCCAGTTAGGTCTGGAACACCAATAACAGCCTCTGCAATATGAATCATTATTCTCAAACATACTGGGTCTATATACCAAACAAACTGACCACATCGTACCATAAAATGGAAAATAACATTTGTACAAGATTTGGCCAAATGTGGCTGTGAATAGGGGGAACAGTAATCAATAGACTGGGGATAATTCAAGAATGTTAAATCGTATAATAATAGTCTATAGGTCAAAATAAAGCTTATGATAAGAGAAACACGAATACGAATAGTTTAGTTACTTAACAATTATACAATAGGAAATATACATATCACATTGGTCCATAAATAGTCCTCAAAGTTACCATTCATGATTCTCCACGGAATACAACATTTATACCCTAATTTTTCATTTAACTTCACTAGCTGCATTATTAAACTAACTATTCACATATCTAAATAAAATGAGAATGACAATATTTACAAAATAAAATGAAGTCATTATATTTCGAGTCTTCACATTAGTTGCCTAAATGGGCTAAACTTATGATTAATAATATCACTATAAATCAAGTATTGCCAATAAATTTAACGTCCGAACAACACTGAAAAACATTAGAAATAAGAAAGACAGAATATTTAACATAGTTGTTACGAATAATTAGTATTTATACATTAAAAACAAAATCATATAAATCAAAATGTGATGTCATAGATAACAATTAACAGACAAACTAAGTTTTCTGACAAATAAGTGACTATATAATCAACCCACCTAGTTTGTATAAAATCAAAATTAACGACATGTGTCAGTGGAATAGAAAATAAAGTTAAGGGATTACGTAACAGACAGACGTTACATCACCATGATTATTTTACCACGATTATGAGTTTACTACACTTTTTTTCTAAAACCACAGTTCAGGTTGAGATCGCTTGATGACAATGACCTCCACAAAGAGGATTAAAAGAGATATTTGTGGCTTTTTAATTAATTTAAATACCATAGTGATATCTACGTTATGTTCATTATCTATTAAACACCACATAATTCTAAACCTTTCACTTCCTTCCAAATACAACCTTCGGGGATATATTCAGAAAACTTTGTAGACACCCTTCTTTTAGTCCTTCCTAATTAATTGACATTATAAGTGCATGTAAATTCACAAACACAGTTGGAAGTAACCTCAGAAGGGTATTGGTTTGCTTTTGACTGGTTTAATGAAGATTTGGTGTTAGACACTGAAAAAAGTTACGCTCCAAGGAAGCTCCCTTTTAGCATTCCTTAAATACTTTTATCAATTTTACCTCAAATTTCATCCCATTTGAACACAAGACTGCAATGACTTGATAAAATCATGGCACAGCTACACGTAATATCCTGCAAACATAAATCTTTACTTTCCCCTGTATAAATAAATAACTGATACGACTCAAAGCAAATGAAAAGGTAAGACCGCAAAATAAATCCATAACAGATAAAACCACTGATTCCAAAAACTATACCAAAAGTACAGTGTTATATATGTTTCACTTAACTGGTCAATAGCCAAACTTGGCAGTAATTGATAGTAATCAAACAAAAAGTTAATGCATGTATACAAGTTTTAATATTGTAGTGTACAAAACTTATGAACGGCAAACCAATTTATGATTTTATGTAAAATTACATGGGGCCTTTGTAAAATATGAAAATCGCACATCAAATACATCACTTGTACACCTTCCTTCAATTGTCCTTTATTGTACTCCCATTTTTCAACTTATGCAGCAGCTCGTCCATGGTGGAAATTCTGTTATATCTAAACGATCCCGAGTCATTGTCTGGTCTAAAGTGAATGCTTCCATCGAATACGTATACCGAACCAGTCTTTCTGAAACCACGTAAACTGGATTCCTTCAACGTTCGCACACTAAAGCAGATCAGACAACAGATAGGGTTGGCCATGTCTTTAGAAAGTCTTAATATCGACGCTGTTGTCTATCCGAGACCCGTATTCAAAACTCTAGTGATGTACTACAAATTCGCTTTCCATCTGTCACTTTGAAAAGCTTGTTCCATGTGCATCTATCCGGTGACCCTGTGACATCTTCATCTGGTCTTGCTCGCGTTGGTTTCGCGCTATGCGCTAGAGCTGAAGCAGCACTAATCGATTGGATCCCCATTAACAGTCGGTTATGTGCTGTTAGATTAGAAAGCTCCATCAAAGTGAGAAGAAATCGGTGCGAGAAACGGTGTCTTTTTGTCATCTCCACCTATGTCCCAACAGATTTCAGCCCAGGCGCAATCAAGGATGAATTCTACCACCAGTTAAATGTTCTTCTCCAGAAAGCACGCTCGACAGATGTTCTAGTACTAGCCGGAGACTTGAATGCACAGGTCGGGCGTCTAGACACAGAATAGAGTCGTTTAGGTGGCCGATGGGGACTTGTTGGTCGCAGGACAGATAACGAGGACCGTCTGCTGCAACTGTGCACAGACTACAACCTGTTTCTGGCTAGCACTAAATTCCGGCACAGTCATCACTGTAGGCCACCTGGAGTCCTTCCTCTGTATCTCAAGCATGGACTCAGGTTGATCACGTGATCAGCTACCGCTGGCGTGGTTGTGTACAAGACTTCCGCCTTTTTTGAAGTACTTATCTGGACCCTGAACATGCCCTGGTCTGCGCCAATATTACTATACTTTTCAGTGACCAACGAATTGACCATCATCAACGGATTGATGTCAGTAAATTGATTGCAACTTCTGCTGCAAGTAAGTATCGAACCGAGCTAGCTTCTAGGCTAGCAAGTATAGATGAGCATTGGTTGCAATTGCATGACGCCATGAAAATGGCGAGTAAAGTCGCTTGCGGCTTCGCGAAACGTCCCGCTTATAAGCATTGGGTTTCTTCTGGCTCCTTACAACTGATGGAAGCCCGTCGGTCTACTCCGGGTGACCGTGAGTTTGACCATAAACGAAAGCTGTTACGAAATGAAATTGGGCAAAGCTTGCGTAAGGACCGAGAAGCCTGGTGGTTGGAGCGTGCTAATGAGCTGGAAGCAGCAGCCGCATCTGGCAACTGCCGGAAGCTCTTCTAACTCATCCGAGCCACTGGCAGCAAGAAGTCTGGTGTGAGTGAAACAATCTGTGAGGATGACGGGATGCCAATCACTAACATCTCTCGACGTCTCGGACGATGAGCAGAATTTTTTGAAGGGAAGTTAAACTGGTCTGCTGCTCCGGCAGAAACGATCAGATTGTCCTGTCCTCTATGGTCAGTGACGACTGCTCCATCAAATGAGACGGAAGTCCACAAGGAACTCCAACTCTTGAAAAGCTACAAATCACCGGACCCAGGTGACTTTTTAAAGATGGTGGTGACTTTCTGGCTAAGGAATCGACTGAGTTGTTTACAAAGGTCTGGGAGCTGGAGAGTGTTCCAACGTCATGGAATGAGTCAATAGTTGTCCCTATCTTTAAGAAGGGTTCACGTTGTTCCTGTAACAACTACCGGGTGATAAGTCAACTTCCGATTGCGTCCAAACTGGTTTTTGTTCTGGTCGAGGATGTATTGATATCTTCACCCTCCACCAAATATTAGAACACTTCGTACTTATCACAGACCAACAATCGTAGTATTTCTTGATATCAGGGCTGTCTTCGATTCATTGGACAGGACTGTTCTCTGGGATTGTCTATTGAAGAAGGGTGTGCCTGAGAAGCTTATTACCATCTTAAAGGCCCTGTATGCAAACACCTCAGGCAGAGTGAGGGCATACAATCACCTTTCTCCATTGTTCCATTCAAGCAGTGGGGTTAGACAGGGTTGCCCAATCTCACCATCTCTCTTCAACTTTGCCATCGGTGATATTCTGGAAACAGCTCTGATGGATGTAGGTAATGGCGGTGTGGATCTGCTGCCTGGAGAACGACTTCTCGACCTCGAGTATGCGGATGATATTGTCTTACTGTGAGATAATGCCCAAGGCATGCAATCCGCACTTAATCAGTTGGCAATCAGTGACCGCAGGTACGGCATGTGCTTTGCACCCTCCAAGTGCAAAGTACTCCTACAAGACTGGTAGGATTCTCATCCTGTACTCACCCTGGATGGTGAGCAGATTGAAGTAGTCGAGAATTTCGTGTATCTAGGTAGCTGCATAAGTGCTGGTGGTGGCGTGAGTGATGAGATCGATGCACGTATAAGGAAATCCAAAGCGGCTTAAGCCAATCTGGGCCATCTTTGGCGCCTTCGTGATGTCATTCTGGCTGAAAAAGGTCGGATCTACAACACGTCGGTGAGAGCAGTTTTGCTATATGCTTATGAATCCTGGCCTCTCCGAGTTCAGGATGTTAGACGACTCTTTGTATTTGATCATAATTATCTCCGAACGATTGCTGACATCCAGTAGCAACACCATGTCAGTAATGAAGAGGTTCAGCATTATGTGTTCCAGCACAGAGACGATAATCCATCTGGTGTCACCATCTTGAAACATCGACTTCCGTGGCTTGGACATCTTCTACGAATGTTGTCCCACAGAATTCCACGTCGTGCATTATTTGTCGACGCTGGGACCGGTCGGAAAAAGCGGAGAGGTGGTCAGTGAATGACATGGTGTCGTGTTATGAAAGAAAGCTGCGATGGGATGGCTTCTGTTGGTCCTTCATGACTCCCTGGTTGGAGTCCAAGAGCAGCACAGTGGCTAGAGACGTTATCAAATATGGCTCAGAATAGAAGCCAGTGGCGATTCTGCTGTAACCTTTTACTTTCTGCATAAAGAGTGGTTATAACCTCCTTAACTGAAAGAGTTCTTCTGGCTGTACATTTCTGTTTCCCCCACTATTATTCTTATTATTACACTAACATACACTAATCTGTGGTTGTTATTGTTCTTTTTTTTCTTATATGCACCTTGCCCTCCTTTTCTCTTCTCATTCTCATTGTTTTGTGTGGCGCATATATATATCTGGTGCCCCCTTGTACCAATATTTATGTGTTCAAATCAATAAAGTTGTCCTTTATATGCTCCATCATTCTTCCAATCCCGTTGTTCTTTCTATTGCCCTCTGTTTTCCTTCCTCTTTTCTTTATTTCAATCTTCTCTTGGTAAGCACTCCACTCCCAATTCCTGTTACATACGTAGGGTACACCATAATATCAGTAGACTAAACGACTTTGACTTACAAAGATAAGCATATTAGTGAGTTACATTTTTGCTTCTTCCTGACAAAGACGGGTTAAGACAAGTTTTACCTTAACAATTAGTTGTTTGAACCTATCTGTAAATATTCTTCTTTACTTCGCATATATCATATTGAGTAATATTGAATAAACACCGATTTCATAGGTTTGTTTTTCCAAGCTTTGACCTACTTCCAATGTCAATATATTTGTTCGTGATATCATGTTGTTTATTATTCCGATATTTAATACGATGCCTGTCACCTTATAATCTGTACTTTTTACTTATATAAAACTAGTTATGTAATCCTTCTTTATTATTAGCACTAAACCACACATTACCTTCATTAGTTTCAGATATAAATGTATGTTAAAAATGAAACCTGATGAATATCAAACTGAAAACAATAATGTCCGCTTAATACTTATCGTCTTACATTAAGTAGTTGGAGGTAGGTGACATGAAATCCTGGACCTATTTTTCGTGCTATTTGGCATTTGTCAGTAAAGTCTACCTGTGATCTTGAGAGAACCGCTGCTACTGGCATATCGGATCCCACATCACCCAGCCTCACAATATGAGACGATACCGTCCAGCTATTCCAGCAACGACCGAGATGAGTCGCTTAGACTAGTGACTACATCCTAACCTGGTTGTTAGAATGCAATCAGAATGTAAAAGACTAAACAAGTATGACACTGATCACTAAATAATGATCAATCAACTGTAAATGTGTTGCTCTACTCTCCATTGTGAGAATTTTTAACATTCTAGGAAGAATTAGCGAAATTAACACATTAACAGAAAACATCCCAACAATGATAAGTAAGCTAAAAAATAGTTGATAATTCATCCCAAATAAAATAAAAGAATTATGAACTAATAGTAACGAACTTGAATTAAAGATAATTGATGTAGCGAAGTTTGATATAAAAGCCGAAGAAGCATTGGACCGGTTAACTGAGTTGGACTCAAAGTAAGACGTCTAATTTTAGGGAAAAGACAAGATAAATCAGATAAAGGATTATCGCTGATCCGCTGAGATCGAGCACTAAGCCAACGAAGATCCAAAAGGTACCAGTCTTCATCGAAACATTGGTAGCCATTGTTATTTGAAACATTGTTATCAGCTTCATGTTCATTAGGGACAACATTTACAAAACCCGGCACATACTCACGATGATATGAGGTTATTGCATTGACAGATGACTTATGGAAGTGAACAAGATTGAGATCAGTTAAACAATGTGAAGCAACCTGGATAATAGAAAAAAATCATACAACCATGTTTAATAAGTGATTAACCAATAAGAAATATAAATTAAACTTCAAGTTTAATACATGACGAAACTAAGATATAAAAAACTGAATATTTTCGTGCAATTAAAGATGTTATTGAATAATAGAGTCAATATGTGTTGAAAATATGAGTAACGGAAAAATACAAAGAAATTGCAGTGCTCTGAAAACTTTTAACAGTGAATGAAGCTGGGGTAGAAATATCAGAGTACAGTTGTGAACAAAAAGAGAGTAGGGTAGATGGAATTCCTCGTAAGATAAAATACAAACTGTACTTGGAACTTCTTTAGTGAGAGTTTATTGTTACTATAGCAATACCCAAAGTGATGTGGAAGAGGTTAAAAAGCTGATCATACGTAACAAGGTTTGGTTATAATTGTACTCATAGACATATATTCGACGAACGACATTGGATAAAGAAACAATCAAACATCGCCAATTAATTCGTACATAACAATCTGAAAGTTCTGAAGGACTTCAAAAAAATTCAACCTATGATAATGTGTTAATAGGTTACATCACTTCAGGACGTGCAAATTTTATCCGCTTGAAATACCAAATGACGCATTTTAACAACACTCATTCGATGAAATAATGAATTCCCTGATCGTCAAAACCTTTGATGTATGATTTACCTTACGTCATAATGGAAAAAAGTAGCGTTGGTTTTAAAATTAGACTGCCGATTAAAGTAAAATTGCATTGATTGAGGTATCTAGTGAACGACAATATTTTTGAAACCCTAGCTACACCTATATGCTATAACAGTAGGACGGGAAAGCCTAAAGGATAACACCCAGTCATCCAGTCTTACGTTGTTTAGGTAGTGACGAAAATTACAGACTTCTTTGTTAAAGTGCAGGGATGGTATCGAAATTCACACTAAGAACTGCGTTATATGCTTCATACCTAAATAGAGAGAAGCACTCGCAGACTCCGCGTTATTTTTGTATTTATCTAATCAGAGTTAGTCATGGGAGAGCTGACTGGTAAAGTTTGATCACAAACAAGGTCATTGCAACTATCTACTAATCTACTTTTCAATAACTTTATAATTTTTATTCGAAATGATATAGAATCAAGCAGCAACATTGAAACCTACTGTCGGAATGTTACAAATGTTCCCAATATTAACAGATATTTTGCTTATTAGTTAGCATAACACAAAATAGAAAAATGAAGGTAGTACATTGTTTTTGTAAAAAAGAAACAATGCAAACCTTTATACTACATTAAATCAAAATATTTCATTCTACCTATCATTAAGCACTGATTTGCAGAAAAATTTAAATTGAATTTTCGTACGTGACTATGATGAATGGGTGATGGCGTTATTGACCGAATCTTGTCACTATTACCATAATTGAAAGGCTTGGTATGACGATGCACAGACCATACTTCGCCTGGCTTTTCGACTTTGTAATAGCTTGATTTCTAATACAAAACACCACGAGCCCAACAGCTTTTGACTATATGTACTGTGTTTTTATCACAATGTTCACACTAGATTTTCTATAATGAAACAGAATTTGTTTACACGTACAGTAGCTAAATCCAAATCCTACAGACCAACGCAACAATACAACTTGATGTTAATGACTGATAAAACGAAAAGTTTTTGACCAAGATATAAGCATTTTACAAATCAATTCAAAAAAATTTCAAGTCGAATGAAAAAGAATTTAAGTTGTAATTTATACTTACATCACTTATTTCACAAACTAACTGTCTGGCGTCATCGGAAACAAGAAAAAGATCTACTAGCCGGAGGCGATGAAGCTCATTCAACTGACGTATCACTCGGCTAATCGTTCTCAGCAATGCACCTCCAGTTCCATAAACAAGACCACGCAAGTTATCAACCTCTGAATTAAAATCCAATTCAAAAGAATGAACAATAGGTGGGTGGTGAAAAGCTGAAAAACTTGACACAGATGAGGGGTATTGAGAGCTTTTACTGCGTTTGAGGCTGCTACAATCATAACGATGAGACGGAGGATAGCTAATAGAAGACATTCTATGCGAGTGAAATTGCTCTAAATCATTGAATAAACCAGATTGCTAGTAAAAATAATGAAATTTAAGTTTAGCAAAACTTAAAAATCATACACAATGAGATAAGTTAGACCAAAAATGTTATAAAATGATGATACGATAATACAGATATAGCTAAAAAGAATGCATTATGTATTTGAATGAAACTCTAAGGAAGAAGCCAAAAATTTAGCTGAATAATTTAGTTATATCCGTTAGTCAGAGCACTTAATCTATTGATACCGTAAATTACATACAGACATTAGATTAATAATTAATTAATGCCAACTATGTCAGTTCGATGCATCTAAATTTATCTATTGATCGGATATTTAAATTGATATATACCTTATTGTGATTTTTGATATCGTTTTGATCAGTTTTGAAACAACGGTTGGTGCATAAACAAACTTTTCTCTTCAGTCTTACTTTCGTTCATGATTCAGACAATATCAGTAATTGTCCCATTGTAAAAAGTAGCAACTATCAATTTCTTTCCAAGCATATTAAATAGCAATATCAACATTTTGACTCTCTAAAAAAAATGGTTACTAGACTAATAGCCCATAACAGATTTAATGAGACCACGGTAAATTAAATATGCTACTAACTTGAAACTAAATAATTTTGATGACTATTGGATACCGTATTAATGTATACTATGTCCCATCCTACGGTCATCTACCCTATCCTATACTACATGAGAAAGTCATAGTACACAAAACTATTGAATACTCTTTAGTCGAATACTATTGATCGAAGCATAGCTTAAAAAAAACAGTCTCAGGGATTGATCTCCAACCTGGAAACTGATTCTTCGATTTATGGTAAACATATGGCAACTCTTCCCGGGAATCCTTACAAAATGTTGAGTCGTCTAAACAACTTGAATCCAAAAAATACTTGGAATGCGTTCCTTTCCCAATAAATAGGGAATGTTGATTTACAACTGCAAAATGATCGTCTTTGGTCTAACTAAAGAAGGTGAAGGGATTATGTAGATTGATCAGTCTACTAGTATCACAAGTCTTATCAGTCTTGGTAAGTATTCAGTAGACGAAATTTGTTGAAAATCCTACTTCAAAGATATCGTATTAAACGGGACAACGGCTATGACCAATAAATATATTGTGGAAATGGGTACTTAAAACGGTGAAATGCTTACACTATTTTCAGAAGATAAATCAGATGAAAAATCCTGAATTTCAGGCTCTTGTAGCTCAAATATTAGCCTGAGAGTAGCTTCGGCATCTGGATCACCTTCAATAATAAAACCAGAAAGTCCATAGTCTGTTTCATGCATTACATTACGGTTCAGATTTTCATATGAAAAATTTTCGATTTCTTTAGGTACGTCACTATGTTCATTGCCATCTGAATCGCACGCATTATTAGGTTCATTCTTCTGCACATCTAATTTGAAACTGTATTCAAGAAACTTTGCAACAAGATTCAACGTTCGATTAAGTAGAAACAAGTCATCACTTTTCAAAAACTTGTAGTTGCGAATATGCCAACCAATCGCCTTTAAACAACTAGAAAATAACGCAAATAAATGGAAACATCACAAACTATCTGAAAGTAATCCGTAGCTATAAGAAACTTATTTTCAATTCAGGAGCTGGAGATCATTAACTTTTCATAAGAAAATAATGAAAGCACACAAGATTGACTAATCACCACTAACTTCTAGTCTGAGCCGTATTGGTAGATGCAGAATACTTGGTTGGGATCCATGAGACTATTGTAACCAAAGGTTGGAGACTCCGGGTAACATGGATCAGAATCGATCACAATTGCATAGGTGTATTCACTCTTTGTCTTCCCTTAAACTGTGATATTAAAATTACTTTATACTTTTCTTTCTATGAACTAATTCTTCCTCGCTGCATCATATCCTTATATGTAGTCATTTTTTATATATCACTGCCATTGAAGTAACTGCTCCTATGAATTTAGTATGAAGTATGGCAACTTAAACTGATGTATATATGTGCCTGTTCCTACGTTGTAGATGACTGAATGGGTTATCACTATGAACCTGTTTTAGAACTGCACAACAATTGCTTTACCAATGGATCTCATGGTGTGAGTTAAAACAAAAGTCCAACCGCTCTTAAACTAGAGAACAATTAGCAATCTGGTAATAAGACGTAACTGTTTTGACAGTAAACAAGTACTAACAAGTAGATGTGATCATGACCACCTCAATAACTATCAACTGAGAATATAGCTACTCAAAATGTACAAGTGTTAAAGCTACGAATGCCTGGCTCCCATTTTAACACAAATTAAAAAGGTTGATAACAAAAGACTATATTCTGCCCCTAAAACAGTTTACGTAAAAAGAAACGAGTTTGACAAGTGTTTAGAAATTTTTTCCTTCATTGTAATAGCTTAAAATGGTCATAGCAGTTGTAAAGCTCATAATTTAAACAAGTTGCCAAAATTTCAGATAAATATTAGGTACACACTAAATCCAGTCGCTGCTGTGAAAACGATAAATTGATGAAATGAAATATTATGAAACTCATCCCTACTCTTTAACTACAGCGAGAAGTCCAGTTTGTATAAAAGCTTCCTTGAATCGAGACCCCCAGGAGATTTTTCGTGAGAAAATGACGTCCTTATGTACGGAATATTCACGAAAATAAACATGATAGGATTTCATAGGCGACTGGATGAAATTAGTTTGTAGCCCACACACTCATCAATCGAAGACCGGATTGTTAGGGCCGGTTTTCGTCCAACGTATCAGAATGTGACATACCGTTGAGTCAATATTATAATCACAAATCCAAAAGCTATTATCATAGTGTCAGCAGTTACATTTAGGTTACAAACAAGTGTAAAACCTTAAACGACTGAACATGGTAAGAAGTAAGAATCAGACATACGATCATTAAAGTAGGGAAGTGTTACGTCACCAACAAGGTAATGACAAGCAAATATTTGATTATATAAATGACATTTATATCTTTCTCTAAAAAACTAAGTATGACTCACCAAGACAAACGATAGCCTTTAATATCATACTGAAGTTTTGTTAGTCGACGACACGGTGGCTTAAAGACGATTTTTCTCCACAAAACGGGAGATTGAAATACACTATACCACTTTCTACACACACGAGCAGCTCGCGAACGTTCATTCCAATTCAAATAAATAAAAATTTGCTCTAGGATTGAATCCGGTATATCTATCATCAATAAGGATAAGCTTAGTTTTTCCAGAAAACAAATCTAAAATAGTCAACAAAATGTCCGACTTGACCAAAACTTTTGAACAAGTAGTATTTGGGAAGAGTGCCACCGAAGTCTAATAACATTACAAGGGTGTTGCTACAACTGTATGGTATCGATGAATTGGATGTAAATGAAGAAAGATAAATAAAAAACAAAATTATTAGCCCTTGAAAAATTTAGATAAAACCTCAAGGTAAATTGTATACTGAAAATGTCACACAAATCTTTATTAAAAATCGAAACGAACTGAAAACGCATACCATCACTTATACTTTACAAAATAAGTAATATCAAGATCATTAGTCCATTAATACTTTTCATAGAAATAAACTACTAGATAGCCATTTGCCTATAAAATGATTTCACAAGCGGACTAAAAACTAACAGGGAATAGTAGCCAAATTCAATGAAGGAAAGATCTCTGAAAAAATTACACGAAATATACACAACCGTAGTAGCGAAACAGACCATTATGCCCTTGTGGTGCAAAAACCCACGTTATTCGGCCATAATCAACGTAGAGCCTGCATAAAAGTGCGCACATTAGCCTAATGAGATGAAAGTAACAGGATGACTAGCTAAGAAATCAGAATACAATAAAAATTGTAATTATAAGAATTAAGCATTGGGAATATGATTGGAAACGACAAGGGAAAAATATAAGCATGAGATGCTGGGAACCAATATCTAGAGAAAAATAGAGAGTCTCTATACTTGAGCCATTTTGACATATCCGAAGTTATGCTACTTAGCATTTTTAATCAATCATCGAGGTTGCCGCGCGTGCCGCAACCAGAGACTACCTAAATAATTAACGTCTTTAGAACTTTCAAATTTGCAAATGATCTAAAATCCCTTTTAATGTGAGAAAATCAAATCTTGCGTAAAATGAAGTGGTTTTTACCAACCACTTTGCTACGACAGATTGCTCGGACTTATTATCAATGTATGTAGATAGTTCAAAGATTGACAACAATTGGCTTAAATTCACTAACAGAGATTGAAAGGCATTCACATAGTGATCTATATATTCAACCTTTAAGACATCTTCCATTGCAACTTCTGTAATGAGTCATCTATTCACATGGCGAATAGTGTCATACATTGTGTTACGCCAATCTTTTCGTTGTCGGCTATAAACTGAAAGCCATGGAACAGGAAATAATGCAGTTGACTGATGTTAGCATAAAGAATGTTTCCTTACAGCAACTGATAGGTGTCAGTACCTTCTGCCAACAAAAGAAACGATGCAACACATATGAGTGGGGTATGGAAGTCATTTGTGGTCCTTAAACAGCAAAAGCTTTCAATTATACTGGCGCAATTTTTTCAGTCGACGTCCAGAGTAGACACAAACGTTAGTAGCCTTCAATCCTACCCCACGATTATTTATGGGCAATCGCAAACTGTACAGTTACGTAACCGTAAAACAACCACATACCGACGTGTAGTCACAACTAAACGGTTTGGGACTTCGCATGCATTAAGTTTTTTTTACACAGTTCGGTATGATTAAGTTTACAACGATTTACGACACCCTAGTGAGTTGCGAATTAGAAAAGTGAGTACGGGTAGTAAGTACCAGTGGTGAGACGGCGAGACTAAATAACATGGACGACCTTTGAACGAATCTTAAATGACCTTGAGAAATATTGGCCAATCAGAAGACAGTTAGCATACAATAAAAATATATTATACAAAACTCAAAAATTAAAGGGGATACTGTTCTTTTACATGCATCAAAAACTTATCAAGGTCAGATATAGGTTCAGAAGTTCTAAAATCATAGTGCATACGGTACAGGAACTCATCCCTGTGGCTCCATAGTAGTCGACATCTGGAACCATGATAAAGTCCCGAAAATTCTTTCAGCCTCGATCACATAGTTTCAGTGTTGTCGGTTGTTAGTATGGTTTAGGGTTTAGGATTAGGGTTAAGGTTTAGGGTTACGGTTTAGGGTTAAAGATGAGACCATAAATAATGGACGACATTTGAGCGACGCTAGAGTGAATCTGAGAGTGTCAACGTAATAACTAAGACTAAATGAGGGTTATAAACCCGAGTGAAGATTTCAAATTATGATTTACAGTCCATGGTTAAGGTTATGAATTTTACTTAGGGTTTTCATCACGAACGGACATCAGCTATAATGCCACAACTCAATCCAAATATATAATTGAATTTTGCGCCAAAATCTTATGGTAACATATCTTGTAGACGCTTAATTATCATGTTTTCTCTAAAATCCTTTGTAAACTGACCGTACGTAAGCGTCAGGTACCGAACTTAGCGCTGTGACCTTGAAAACCCGCGAAAGCTTCTGATGGGCTCGTCCATGTTCTTTAGTCTCGCCGCCCTACAATGGAAACAATTTTGACCGCAATTGCATACAAATGTACGTTACAGACTACCGTAAAAATGTAAATTTAAGGACGAACAAAAGCGGCAACTTGACTTGATTACGGCATCACAAACAGCATTAAAATACTAAGATAGCTTCAATTCTATGTCAACAGAAACGCAAAGGAGGGTTCTTCCGCCCATTGAAAAGTGAACAAAAAGCCCGTCAATTTAAAAAAATAGATCGATAAGCATTACTGCTGTTTACCTACTCCCAGTTTGTCTCTGCCAGATAGATAACCGTTTCATTTTATTTCGGCCAAGCATTTTTTGACTTTTCTGTATGCCCTAATCGTTACGACGTTGTAACGTTAAAAAAATCCCTGACATCAATAACTCTGTAAGTGTTCGACGTTGAATGCTGACCACATTAGTTTTGACGGACTCACCTAGCTGAAGGCGCTCGGTCATGCATCCGCACCAGATCACAGGTGGAAACGCCGTGCTCAACATCCCCTGCAATCACTAAATAGCCTAGAATAGTCGATTCTCGATATATTGATAACCCACCATATATATCATCGAACATCCTCGGTTCCCTCCTTTGATTTCACTAGATGGGTACGATTCATAATAGGTGTTACTGGTCAAAGAATGGTCAAACTCCAAATACCTGTGGCATCTTCATTAGTGAGCCTGACGTGATCTTGCACACCAACCTATAAGCCGTGAGTCTGGTTCTACTACTCAGAGGGCGACTTCTAAAAGCACGACATGACTGATCCACGTGCACAATTCCTCGCGGTTGTAAATGCACTACCGCGCGAATTCAACAGGCATGTGACACCTATTATGTTTACTAGTGATGTTTCGGAAAATTACGAAACCCTGAAACGGTCGATTTTGAAACGCAGAGATCTAACAGATCGACAAAAGTTAGATCAACTTCTTATTACTGTCGACGTACATCATGGTTCTGCGACAAACATGTCGCTAAGGATGAAAGGGGTTATAAGTCAAAGGACTTTCGATGATGGACTATTCAAACAACTTTTCTTGTCTAAACTTCCTCAACGGTTGCAACCAGCACGTGTCTCGTTTCAAAACAACGCCGTAGACGACCTGGCTATATTTGCTGACAGCATCCTCGAAATCACACAGTTTTCTACTGCCGAGGTTATTTCAGTCAAAAAACCTCGAACGACCCACAATGACATTGCTGGATTTTGTCATGCACTTACACATTACCTTAGATTTCGTGATGATCGTCAACGGTCAAATACCCCAAGAAGAAGCGCTTCACTTAGGCGATCTGTCTTCAGACCACGGGGGACGGATAACCCCAAATGGTGCTGGTATCATAACCAGTATGGGAAGTCTTCCAGAAATGGCAGGAAACCATGCACTTTTACGGACTCAGGACCGACCGACACGGAAAACTATTCGGGAAACTTCCCAGCCGACACGCGTTCACGGCAACCGTAGCCTGCAAACATAGCCGTCTTTTGTACATCAAAGATGTGATAACGAAAGTTCGCAACCTCGTCGACACTGAGACAGACGTCAGCGTTCTTCCTGCGAATTCAAACGACCAGCTTCTCAAACTTGTTTTAAACTTACAGGCGGCAAACGGAAAACCAATCTCCACATATGGTAAAAGGTACCTTTACCTTAACGTGGGTTTACGCAAACCCATCTTCGTTGTTACAGATGTTTCTATGCCAACAACTGGCATAGACCTCCTACAACATCACAATCTACTCATCAATACATGCAAACGGAGGCTAATAGACGAAAACTCGAGGTTATCTATTTGCGTAACTCCTTTTTCCGGTTGTAGATTATCTGCAGTCACAATTAGACACATAATAGTCCCATTCTACCAACCATTACTCGATAAGTACTCTGGGATATATCAGTCGCAATCGAAATCGCCATGTATAACCAGCAATGTTATACATCACATCACGACTACAGGACCACCTGTATTCTCAAAAACACGACGACTGGCTCCCGAAAGGCCGAGGATGGCTAAAAACGAATTCTATCACATGATTGTGTTATGAATCATTCGACCGTCAAATAGTCCATGGTCATCTCCTTTTCACATGGTCCCTAAAAAGTACAGCAATGATTATCGGAGTCTGAATGTTAAAACTATTCTCTACCGTTACTCGTTGCCTCACATTCACGATTTGACAGCTACCTTGAAGGGTACAACCGTATTTTCGAAGATCGACTTGGTCAAAACTTATAACCAAATTCCTATGGCTACTGACGACATTCCAAAAACCACTATAATAGCTCCATTCCGCCCCTACGAATTTTCGCGAATGCCTTTCGGCCTAAGAAATGCTGCTCAAACCTTCCAAAGGTTCATAGATGACATTTTCCGAGGTCTCAACTACGTACATGCGTATGTTGATGACTGACTGATAGCAAGTCTGGACATAGAATCTCATTGCCAGCATCCAGACATTGTTTTCGAGCGACTTCAAAGACATGGCATTACTGTAAACATTCATAAATGCCTAATCGGATCCGACCCCCTAGATTTCCTAGGACACACTATTTATGCTCAAGGCAACTGACTTCTCAGAAGTAATATGGTGGCCATTCTG